GAGGGGCAATGCCTAGAAATAAGGTGAGAGATATAAGCATGATGTCACCTTCTCTACCCCTTTCCTTCCTCTAACCCTGACCATCAGCATCCTCACCACTCAGACTGAGGCTATCTAGGCCATGACAGACCATGGCCTCAGAGGCACTAGGGTACTTACTTAGAAGGAGGGCCCCCGATAGAGGGGGCCTCTAGTGTCTCCTAGCTATAAAACAGTTTCCTCTGACCCCACATCCTCCTTCAGCCACCATCCCATTTCTATCCTCTCTACAATAAAACTATGTTGTCTGTGTTGACCATCTACCTCCTTTCTTTACATTCCTCTTTCAACACACTCCAACTAGGCTACTAGCCTCACCTCTTCACTTGAGGTTGCTCTTATCAAGGTCACCAGTTATTTTCATGTTGCCTGATCCAATGGGCACCTCAGGTCTTATCCATTTATCAGCAGCACTTGACAGAGCTGATCACTCCCTTCTTGAAAAAATTTTTCTTAGCTTTAATAGTATCATAATCTCCCACATTCTCTCCCACCTCACTGAGTGTTTCTCTTACTCTTCTTTTCTGGCTCCTTTCCTGATTCATCCCACCCTCAACATAACTGGTGTGCCCCAAGGCTTTGTCCGGGGTCCCATTCTCTATCTCTGTTCCCTCCCTGGGTTATCTCAGCCAGTTCTATGGCTTTTAACACTGTCCACTAAGCCAACAGCTCCCAAATTTATTTCTCTAGGCCAGTCCTCTCTTAGAACTCTAGACATATATTCAATTGCATGGCTGCTCATGTGCATGGCTGCTTAATGGATATCTAAAACTGAGTATGACCAAAATAGAACTCTTGATGAAACAGAACTCCCCATGTTTCACCCTGCTTCTACTCTTTTCTGGTAAAGTCTTTACACAGCAGCCAGTGGCTTTTGAAAATATAAATTAGATCATGTCACTCCCCTGCTTAAAATCTCCAAGGGCTTACTTCTGTATTGTGAGACAACTTCACAATCCCTATCTTTGCTTACACGTCCTTTGTAAAGTGGCCCCAGGCCACCTCCCTGACTCCATCTCATACACCCCCAACCCTCACCCCTGTGTTCCAGCCACAGGCCTTCATTCACTACCCCTACTACTCCAAGCTTGCTCTCACCCTTGGTAAAGCTATTCCCTCTGCCTAGAATGCTCTTTCCCCCGATATTCCTATGGCCAGCTCCTTCTTGTACCTCACAGTTTAGCTTAACCCTCACCTTCTCAGAGGTCCACCTATCCTGGCTGCCTAATTGACAGTAGTCTCCTACATGATAGATGCCTCTATCATGTCATCCTATTTAAATTTTCTTCATTGTATCTCCCATTCTCAATAGTCTTCTTGTTTCCTTAATTACTTATTTTCTTTTTTCTCTAACTCTAATGTATCATGAAAGTACGGACCTTGCCTTGCTTGGCACATCATAAGAGCCCAACAGCATGCACATATGCTCTGTGACAGCACTGCAGATAGATTTCCTCCTGCCTTTCTCCTGGGCAGGAGCCCCTTGACTCACCAAAGACATGGGGCACTTCTCCAGATCCTCTTCATTCTTGATCTGAACATCTGCAATGGAGATGTACTTGTGCTGGGGAAGAAAAGATATCAGTTAAGAGGCTGAGGTTACTAAAAAAATTTTTTTTTAATTAAAAAAAAAAGGGAGGGCACCTAGATGGCTCAGTCTGAAGAATGTATGACTCTTGATCTTGGGGTTGTGAGTCTGAACCCCATGTTGGGTGTAGAGATTACTTAAAAAAAAGAAAAAGAAAAAGATACTGAGGGCCCCAACCACATATGTACCAGCCTCTTGCTTATCTTCCTTAATGATAAGGAAATGTCCTGTATATGGGTTGTCACCCCAAACAGAACATGAACTCTTCGAAGGTAGGAGTCTTATTTACCCTTGTACCCTTAACATTGAGCCCGGTGCTTCATATACAGTGTTTCTGTTTATTCTATGTTCCCATATTTGTTGAAGAGCAGAAATAGTTAAGTATTTACCTTCAACCAAAGGGCAAGGGGAAGTGAAGAACAGGCCCGTGTCCCTGGACCACTATCCTGAGAGTTTTGCTGCGTGTGAGTATGCTTGTGTGCATGTGTATGGAGTGATGATGGGGTGAGGGAGAGTTCAGGGTCTGTGCAAGAGATGACTATTTTTACTCTTTGTGCTCGTATATACTTTGGATGCAGAGAAGACTGCTACTAATCCTGGGCTTTTGGAAGTTAGTGGCCTTATAGGGAGAAAGAAGTGAGAGGAAAGGAAGCGAGGAGGAGGAAGAGAGAAAGAAGGGTGGGAGGAGGAAAAAGGCATGAGAGGAAGAAAGGATAACTTTTTCATCTATCTGAATGTAGGAAAATGGTTAAATAAGGAGAGACCTAATTTCTTCCTCTTTGGCCAAAATGTCTGCTGGGGAAATACAGAATGTGTCTGGTAGAAGAGTCAATAACCAGGACTTTGGTCATCAAACTTGAATGATGGCTCCCTATCCCTGAAGACTGAGAGCCCGCCCTGGTCACCTGCTTTAGAGTCTTCACACTCTCATGGATGGGCCTGGGTAATCCAACCAAGGTATCTGTGTCCCTGTGAAATGAGAGATATACCAGATCATAAGCATCAAAACTATAGAGAACTACTGATTAATCACTGGCCTCTATCTCTAAAACTAATATTATATTATATGTTAACTAACTGAATTTAAATTTAAAAAAACTATAGAGAACTACTGATATCCCCTGGAGTTACATGGACCATGCCACTTTCAACATGCGGTATTCTGGATCTTTCTCTGCAAGCTTCCATGTCCCCCATTATTGCTTCAGGACACAAAAAGAACAATGCCACACAGAAGTGTTCCTGAAAATTAGGATTTTTGTATAGTCTTTTGGGGATTTACTTTGTCAGGGTGTGGTAGGTTCCTTAAAAGGGCATGTAGCCCAACTACAGTGAAACATGGGAACAAGGCCTTCTCCATTTTGTAGAGGCCAGCCAGTGTGAGGGATTCATGAGGGAGGAGATATGGGGGAAGGCTGGATCTGATCTGACCATGTTGCTTCTTCACAAAATTCTGGCCTATTAAAACAGGAAGGACCCCTAGGGACCACCTAATCCAACACTCTCCTGAAGAAATTGAAGCCCAAGAGGGAAATGACTTGTCACTCAAGGTCCTACACCTGGCTAAGAACATAAGAGTTCCTCTAGGAAACTGGAAGGAAAAAAATTCCATGGCACCAGCCCAGAGTCACTAGCAGATGGCCCATAGTGGCTCTAAGTTACACCATAACTACCAGGCAACATCTCTCATTCCAGCCACCCACTCCTCTGGCCCCCTAAGAACCACTGTATAGCCAGTTCTGACCATCTAGTCACTTACTGCCCCAGAGTGAATCCGATGAATTTGTTCCTGCTCATCTCCAAGAAGTGCTCAATGTCCTTCTGTCTGAGAGGACAGTGGAGAGACAATTCCCAGAAAAGGAAAAAAAAAAAGGCAAACCTTGAGAGACAGAACCTTTCTGGACTCCTAACCCTTTGATTGGAGGATTAGAGCAGTGGGGGAAGATAACAGCTAACAGAGGAAACTTCAAACCCAGGAGTTTCGACTTCTAGCCCAGCTTACTGAGACTTGAACATGTAGACCACTGCATCGTGGGCCTTCAGTGATTCTAATCCCAAAATTCAGGGTCCCCCGGAGTTATCAAACCTACCTGACCTTTGGGGCCCAGGGTAGGCCCTTGGGAAAGGCCACCCGCTCAGCGGAAGGGGATGCCTGTGAGGGTGGAGGTGGCACCAGAGGGTCTTGCTCTAGCAGGTCTAATTCTCCATCCAAGGTTCGTTCTCCATCACCAGCAGACTCCTCTTCCTCCTCTGTGGCTGGTTCCTCAGTCTTAAAGAGATCTCTTTCATTGTAGATGTCCAGGCTGTCCTGCTTAGTGAGGAGTTGCTGGGTGGGGGTTGGGAGGGTGGAGAGAAGGTGTACAGAGATCTCACTCTGAGCATCCTTGTCTGAGGTCACCCTCTACCCATAAGCTACTAGACTTTAGGATACATGGAGTAACAACCCAGCTCTTATAAGAATATCCCCCACCCCACCTTAACCCTAGTATATCCACCAGGCCCAATCCCAGGACAAGCACCTCTCAGGCAAACAAGCCTATGGCTGGGGAACAAAGCATACATAATCCCAAAGTCAGTTACTTAGCTTTCAGAAAGCATGGATTTTTTAATTTAATTTAATTTATTTATTTATTTTTTGCCAGCACTTTCCTTCCTTATTATGCTCTGCTTAGGTGAACATTCAATTAGTTTGCCTTCTGTGAGCTTACACCAGCTGGCTGATTGAGGAAGGGGAGGACAGAGGCTTGCTGCTAGGCAGAGGGAAGCAAGTTTGGAATTTTAAATCTTGTCAAAAAAAAAAAGATTGGACAGAAATAGGCCAAAAAGTTAACAGTGACTGCCTCTGGTTTATTAAGCTTGTAGGTGATTTTCTTTGTTCCTCCCTTCTTCACATTTTTATATTTGCTCCAAATTTTGTACAATGAGTAAGCATTACTTTATAAAACAAAAAATAAAGGTTAAAAAAAATCACATTGCAGATTATGTAGACTAGATTACTGAACATGACTGTCTGGTCCTGTCACCTGTAATTGGTGAACTCAGGTATTTCAGGGAGGTGAGTTTGTGGGTACATGGTCAAGTCTCAGGGCAACCTGTCATTCTGACCTTTCCAGGGATGCAGATTATACCTAGAATACTAATTAATCACCTCCTAAATGTAAACCTCTGGTTCCAGGGCCAGACAAGAGCATGGCTGGCTCAGAGTAAACCTTGCTATCAATAAAATGATAAAGCGCCTTACCCCATGCATGTGGATTTGCTGGGAGCCCTGTTCAGGTGATCTGGGTCCCTATTTCCAGGATTATGCCCTAACTGTTGGCCAGGATAACTCCAGGCATACCAGGTCTGGGCCAATGACCCTGTAGCAAGATATGGATCTATGATGTAATATGAACAGTGTTACATCATGATAGCCTGGGAGCCTTCTGGAGTTGGAAGACAGCAGCCAAAGTACAGACTCCAAGGTTTCAGGTTGGTCACAAGGCCAATCAGAGGTAGGATGAACCTCGTCATTTACTGCCTTTTCCTACCACATCCAGAGTAGCTCAGAATCTTAATTTTTGGCCTACTAGTATCAAAACACCACTGTCTGCTTTAGTTCATACCCTTCGAGAACCACGGCGGCCTCGCAGCTTAGAGGGTGGTGGTGCCAGCTGAGACTCCCCCAGGTCGAGGGTGTAAGAGGGCGGGGAGGCAGCACGCATGCTCTTCACCACCTGGATACTGTCTTCAGCCAGTGGAGGCAGCCCCAATTCTGCCCGCTTCTGTACCTTGAGAACCTGTAGATGCTCAAATCCACCAAGGGTAAACTACAGTATAAACAGGAAAGGGGCAGAGGAGAGGAAAAGAGGGAAGTCAGAGGGAACAAGGTCAGGGAAATGTGAATGGAGAGGAAGAGCCACACTCTCCAGTCCCCTTGTACTCCCTTCTTAACTAAGAAGTAATAAAACAGGAAGGGACAAATGTAGTTACTATCCCCAGTCTTAGAAGCTCAGGGGTCAGGATAAAGCATTATTTATTGACTCAGGGCTGGAAACATCACCAGGAATTAGGAAAGGGACTTCTGGGGGCTTCCACTGGAGAAAAAAAAGGGAAACTGTGTCCCCTTTTTAAGGAGTACAACCAGATGCTATAAAGCCCGAGTCACTCAATTTCTTCTGCAGTCAAAGTTAGTTCCCCCCTATGAAACTCGCTCTGGAGGGTATGTTGTTCAGGAAGTCCTGTGGGGTGGGAGCCAGAGGTGAAGGATCAGATTTAATAATTAGTAACAAAGCTGTAACCATACACTTATAAGGACTTCATTTTTTTTAAAGATTCATTTATTTATTTTAGAGAGAGAATGTGAGCAGGGGGAGGGGCAGAAGGAGAGAGAGAGAGAAAGAGAGAGAGAAGCAGATACCCCACTGAGCGCAGAGTCCAACGCAAGCCTCGATCCCACGACCCTGAGCTAATGACCTGAGCCAAAATTAAAGAGTCAGACACTTAACTGACTGAGCCACCCAGGTGCCCCAGGACTTCATTATTTTTTAAAGCAAATCCTCTGTTTATTTGGATGGAGGGCAGGTAGTAAATCCCATTTTATAGCTAGAAAAATTGAGGCAGAGACAGTTGTCTGAGGTTCCTCAGTATCAGCGGAGGGTAGATCTCCCAACTCTCAACCAGTATTCTTTCCATGAAATGTCAGCTCTATCATGGGAAGGTGCAATGACACCCTAACTCATAGAGTGACATCTCCCGTCAGTCCAACAGAAATAGGTAACCTGCTGTGACACAGAACATATGATTTCTCTCCATTGGCTAACAGCTGCCCTCCCTATTCTTCTGCCTAGCTCCAGTCTCCTGGAATCAGACTAGAAGAAAGTGATGTGGCAGAGGGGCATTGCTGATCTGATGAGATGGGCGTGGGGAGGAGGGGGTGGATCAGCCACTTACCATGACCACCTTCCAGAGCAAAAGCAGGACCTTCTTTATGGGGAAGTGGGGAGCCAGGCCACTGCAGAACTTGGTAACCATGGAGAAAAGCAAAAGGGCAAAAGGTTCCTCATTATGTATGGAGAAGCCTGGGGAAGAGGAGAGAGAAGTGAGAAAGTGAGGATGAGAGTGCTGAAACCCTGCCCCTTTAACCCTGCTTCTGGATGCAGTGAGGTAGGCTCTTACCTCCTCCAAGAATTTGAGTACTGTTCCTTAGAAGGAGGCTTAGAGAATCCCCAGAGGGAAGGAACAGGAAGGAAGGCCATGGAGGTAAAATGGCTTAGCTCCCAAGCTTGAGGGTGGATACCAAACTAGAAGTAATAGTAATAAAGATGTTCCTTTTTGGCCAAAGGACTCAATGTATTTCATAGATCACAACTCACTTTCCCACATCAATCTAATATATTTTAAAAATTCCATAGGCCTTCATATCTTATCCCTGTGTGATGACAACATCAATATTTTCAAGGCGATTCAACTCAGCATTTCATGTGAGATTGATGATGAAATGGGAGATGGATGGCTATTCCATTTTATAACCAAGGAAATCAAGGCACAGAAATGACACATGATTGGTACTAACTCATAGACACAAGGGAAGTTAAGCCAGGTCCTCACGCCTACCACGCAGTATCTTTGCCCTAAAAGAATGGATGCTAATTTGGAAAGAGGAAGGGAGGAAGGAAGGAAAGGAGGGAGGGAGGGAGAAAGGAAGGAAGGAAGGAAAAGCTATTTGTCTCTTCTCTGCAGATGCGCAGAAGTTATGCTTCCCCTCCACCATCAGCATCTTATCCCAACCCTTCCTCAAATGCCACTTCTTACTCAATTCAGTGCGGAAGGTCTCCCGTGCTGTCCTCCACCGGCAGGAGTCTGTCTCTCGCTCCAGGCGGATATTTTCCACCAATAGGTACATGACACTCAGCAGCACCCTGGGGTTATAGAAGGGTTACAAGAGGTTCCCAAAGCAGCTCCCAGCCTATAGTCAGAGACCTTGGGGATGATCTCTGTGGGAGCCCGACCCAGTGGAATTAGCAACTACTAGTAGTCTGGTATATCTGAGACTTGGGCCAAGGGTAACCCACTGTTAACTATCCCTTGTTCTAATCCCAGGGCCAGCTCAACTTACCTGAGTTCTGTGCTATCAGCAATGGAGATGGCTGGTTTCCGAAGAGCACTGCTACAGGCCTGGCTGTTGCTGCCATGGGGAGGAGGGAGAGAACAGGAACTCATAAGGCCTCTTTACACCCTGTGTCCCTACTTATCATATACATAAATGTGAGTACCTGCTATTCCCTGGCTATGTAGCTAAAAGAAATTGGTCTAAGGTAAAGGAACCCATTGAATTCCTTTGCCACCTCAGTAAACCTTTATCTGTGGGGAAGATGGGCAAGGGCAGGATCTCTGATAACCCCTCCACTTATAATCCACACTGTGCCTAGCACTGTGCTGAACACAAAATAGATGCTAAGCAACCCTTTTCTCTTTTTTTAAAGATTTTATTTATTTATTTGACACACAGAAAGAGACAGTGAGAGAGGGAACACAAACAGGGGAAGCAGGAGAGGGAGAAGCAGGCTTCTCGCGGAGCAGGGAGCCCGATGTAGGGCTCGATTCCAGGACCCTGAGATCATGACCTGAGCCGAAGCAGACGCCTAACGACTGAGCCACCCAGGCGCCCCTAAGGAACCCTTTCAATCTCCCCTCTTTAAACTCCTGGGTAATAGGCATGAGATAAAATGACGGATCACTATAGTGGTAGCAGCAGATAAGGCCACCTCTAGAGCTATGACCTATGAGGGAAAGAAATTGGGCACGGCAACAGAAGTTGGTCCTGTCCCTCTTGGATCATGTTCTCAGGTAGAACAGTCTCCTTCATGGATTCCAGAGTTAGGCTGAGTTGAGAAGGTGTTTAGATATAAAGGGAACCCACCTAGGATAGGACCCTGAAGCCCAGGACTGAAGCTGTTAAGTGGGGCAAAAGCTATTGATGAGCCCAACCTCAGGGAAGAGGACAGACTATCAGAGAGCGTGGCTGGATAGAGGGGAAGTGTCAGTAAGCTTTGGGCTGAGGTGTGAATAGACTCTGCTCCCACAGAGGTCTCTAGAGTGAGGGAATCAGCATAGGACATGAGGCACACTTCAAGGAAGGGGGTTGTCTAGGCCGGCTCTCCCCTAAGGTTTCTCACTCGATTTCCATGTGGAGTAGCTCCAAGAAGGCTGAGAAGGTCCCCATCTGATAGAGCAGGAAGCAGTTGTACCTGGACCAGTGTAGCACATCGACCTCCGAATCACATTCCCCAAAAGTGCCTAAAGAACCAGACAGTGTCATATGGGTTGAGGGGCATCCAGTTCTTTCCACCCTGCCCCATGATCTTAAGTCTATCTTCCAACACCTTGCCCAACAATTAGGCCGACAAAGTACGGCAAGGGCCCTCCAGAACTTCCTTGAATGAGGCAGGAAAGAGGAGAAACAGTCTCCAGAGTCAGGTCCAATGTGCTTATCACTGGCCTGTCTTAAGTTTGAGTTCCCTGGGAAGCAGATCCAGAGAGAAGGATTCAAATGCAAGCAGTCTATTTGGGACATGATCCCAGGAACCATTAGTAGAGAAGTGGGGAAGTGAGATAGGGAAGAAAAGGTAGCTAAGGAGCTGGACCCAGGTTGGGGAAGCTCTGGGAAGCAGTATATGTTTTACACTCTCAGAATCATCCCACCCAAGAAGGGTGAGGCAATTGGGCTATTCATCCACTAACTCCTGTCACTCATTGATCAGTGCTACTGGACTAGGGGAGCACATTAATTCCCTAGCACTTCCTGGCTACCCTATACGGACTGCAGAGAAAGCCCTCAGGTAAAAAGTTAAAGGTACTAGCAGTTGGAAGTTGGCCAGAGCACCAGACCCGAGAGATATGGTAGGCACTGCCTTGTTTGCTGTAGTCTTCCCTTTACCACTCTCATTCCTATCCATTTATTATTTTCTTTTATAGTTTTTTTGTATTTGTTTGTTTGTTTGTCGTTGTTGTTGTTTTAGCTCCCAGCTAGTTGGTTCTGCCAATAGTCCTCTTATTATGATCTCAGGGCATATTTTTACTATTCCAGTTAGGTTATCTCATTTCTCTTTCCAACACCTGGCTAATAGGTCTCTTCTGGGAAGGTTTTCTCAATTAATCTCACTGAGTTCTGATCCCAGTTACACACCGCATCCACTCCTGCTGCTATGCTGGCTTGAACTCTCTAAATGCCAATGAGAAATAACGCAGAAGGTCCATGTGTGAATCTGTGGCACCACACTACCTCCCGTCAGTGGAGGTCAGTGCCATAGCTGAAGAAAGAAGCCTCCATGCTCAGCTGGTGGTACATCAACTCTAGCCACACTGACTCTCTTACTAAAACTCCACATATGATTATAGCCCACATGAAGGAAAAAGGAACTTTATAAGAAATCTTGCCCTGCCTGGCAAGATAAAGGCCAATTCCAAGGGATCCAGGATAGTACCCACCACCATCTCCTTAACTTCCTTATAAGCATCAGGTTACTCCTAGCACTTGACAAGATCTCTCCTTGAGAGGCAGGGACCTTGCTTTCTTAGCATGGCTTGCCTCATCCTAGTCTTGATAACACCATTTCTCTCCCTAGTTTTCACCCATCTCAAGCTGGCAAAGGTGGCCACTCGCCTTGGGCCAGGTACAGAACAGCCCGGGCCACCTTCAGTCGCCGTTCCCTACTGACCACCTCCAGTCGGTCCAGGAGTCCCATCACATAGGCCTTCTGGGCATCTTCCTCCAACTCCAGCCACTCCTTGCCCTGCACTGGGGAAAAAAGGCCATACAGATCCAGTGTCAGCTTTTGCCTCCCCTTCCTGGAAAGGCTCCTGATAACATACCCACCTCTGATCCCCACCCCCAACAAATTCTTCTCTTCAAAAGCTTTCTTTATTTAGCTGAGAAAGAATAAGAGATTGGAGAAATAAAGGACCCCCAAAGTTCTGGCTGAATCCACTCTGCAGCTCATCTTCCTCCATATCCCCTTTATTCTCCACACAGAGCCTGTTCTGTCCTATCTCTATGCCTTTCCAAGGAGTTCCCTCTTTCCCTACATATTCAATTCCTATTCATCATTACAGGTCCAATACTAAATTACCTCTTTCCCACTAATGCTCCAGCCAGAAGCTCTGTCCCCCAAGATACTACCCTGCCTCCAGTACCCCCAAGATGCCTTTTACTTCTCTTATGATACTTACCACTTTCCTTTTGGCCTCAGTAAGTTTTGTGATGTACACACCTCCCCTCTGCCACTGGACTATAATCTCTTTGAAGATTCTGCAAATTCACTTTCAGCCCTGCTCCCCGCATCTCGCACAAAACAGTTCTCACCACACATCTGTTGAGCTGCAAACTGAATTCACTGACCAAGTAAGGAGATGGAGGTCTGAGAGGATCAGTGTGGACACATGGAATTATTATTAGATGCAATTAGGAGTGAGGCAGAGTTGGAGGCAGGGATTGAATGTTAAAGTCAAGGACTACACTAGGAACAGAGTTCAATCAGGCCTCAGGGCACCAGCCCAGTTCCCATCCCTCTGCTCTCTGGGGCCTTTATATCAGTGAAAGGGACCGAGCTCAGGCTTCTCCTGCTTCCATTCCATGGCCTCTCCACTTGAGCTATAGGAAACTCTGTGTCCCATATGCAAGAAGGGATAGAGAAGTGGTTATGGAGAGGACGAAGAAGAATCATACTTTGTTTTGGGCTTTTTCTAGATCAGGCTGGGATATCATGGGGTGTGGGGGAGGAAAGCAGGTCTCTATGAATAAGAATCTGGGATCACCTTGAGTCTTGAAATCTTCTTCAAAGCACCTCCTGTTAGTGGTGAATTCCAGGTTTTCAGTGTAGCTATATAATTCTGTGTCAGGAAAGATAGGACAGAGTCACAAACATTCAGCAGACCCTTACAGAAGGGGCCTGGGGTGGAGAGGGTGGCATGAAAGAGCTAAAGCTTCCAACACATTCCTGTGTCCAATTCAATCCAGAGCCAGCTTCCTCTCTTTCGGAGCAGTTAAAAATAGCCACTTGTGTCCCTGGGTGATTAAACCATCAAACCTGTCCCCCTCCTGCCAGCTGGCTGCTACAGCAGAGAAGGCAGTCTTCAACACTGGTCAGGGCCAGGAGGAGGGATGAAGCAGAAAAGGCTTACTGTCATCAATCCTGTTTCTTAGGGCTGCAACCCCTTCTGCTTGTCAACCCAGACTGAAACTATCCTGTCTCTAGGGAAGAGAGGGGCAACACAATGCCTGAAATTTAGAGGCAAGATCCTTGTGCTATTCAAGGAACCAGAGTAAAGGCTGGAGAGTATGTGTTAGATGGCCCTTTGGGGTTGGAGCCTGTTCATTCTCTCCCTGCTGAGTTTCCTCAAAGGGTATAGAAGTTTAGGTTCCTGCCCATGGCCACCCAGGTAGACACAGCATCAAACAACATAGAAGCAGCTATTGTTGCCAAAGGGCTGCTTATGCCCAAGAAAATCTAACTTTGTTAACAATAGCCTCTGAATACAAAATGCAGAGAGTTTATGAGAAATAAAAATGCCTTTCCTACAGACACACACACTCCAGAACATTATACCAGGAAGTACCCTCATCTTACAGAGGATGAGATTTGAAGTTGAGAAGTCAATAAGTGACAGAACAGATTTCCTCAAAACTCTGTAACAGACCCTTGCTGGAAATTTAACTAGGTCATAGATAATTCACAAAGAGAAATTCACTTATGTTCCAGCCAGCTGTATAATGGTTGAGAAACACCTTGTCTGGGAGCCAGGGCTTTTGAGTCCTGAGTTCCAGAATCCTGGATTGACCAGAAGCAAATCCCATCTCTGACTCTGATATTCTTCAGCGCTCAGTGGGTAGTGTGCATGTATGTTTTTTAAGAGCACAGCATGAACCCAGTCAGAGAAGGGAGCAAGGCTGTTAGGTACTAAAATATTTTCATTTTTATTTTTAAATTTTAGATCATGAATTTTCATAGACAGATACAGAATACATAAGATAACCTATGTATCTTCTACCCAGATTAAACAAACATTTACACTTGTTATATTTACTTCAGATGTCTAAAGTTTCCTTTTCCTCCCCAGTCTCATTCCCATCTCAAGACTTAACCATTTTAATGATATTGGTATGTATCCTTTACATGCCTGTTTTTCTTTTACTGCATATGTATATACCTGTAAACAACATGACATTGTTGTGCTTGAAAGCTTTTACCCAAACAGGATATTATATATATTATTTTTCGTAGAAACAATTCTTAGTATGTCTTTCAATAGTTTTTTACATGACAGTGTACTGAACACATCCATTTACTTAACTGACACTGTTCTTAATCAAGTGTGCAACTAGACTTCCCAGAAATATCTTTTAGGTTTGTGTGTTTAAGCAGTATTTGGATGCATGTATAAATTATTTTGTCACTGCTTCTTTCACTCTCAACACTACGTTTTTAACATTTATTGATATTGAAACATATTGATATAGATCAATTATTCTAACGGCTATGTGGTAGCCTACTATACTGATATGCTACAGTTTATCCATTCCCCTAAGTGGTTTTAAATTTTTCACAATGGCCACAATAAACATGTTTATACATGTTTTCTTGTGCCCAAATGTTCTTTAAAGGATACATCTAGAGTCACTGTGTCATAATATGTGTGCATCTTCAACTTTGCTAGATATGACCAAATTGCTTTCCAATTTTATATTCTGCTCCCTCATGCCAAGCAGTGCATAAAAGTACTCATTTCTCTGCACCCTCACCAACTTCAGGCTTTTAAGTTTTGCCATCCGATGAATATGAAATAATACCTCATTATTTTAATTTGCTTTTCCTCATTTACTAATGTAGTTGAACATCGTTTCATATATTTATTGACCATATGGTTTTCTATTCTCTGAATTCCTATTCATATTCTTTGATTATTTGTCTATTGGGTTGTTCTTCTCTTTTCTCTTTCTACACACACACACACACACACGCGCACACACACATACATATATGAAATATATTATCTGGAATTCTAATCCTTTGTTGGTTATTAAACTCAGCTCTCTCTTTGTCACTCATCACAAATTTATTCCCTGTGCTTATTCACAAGAACTTCTTTAAAAGTTCTTGTCTCTTTTCTCTGAAAAAGCATGTCTCAAAGTGTCACTTCCATGTGACAGAATATTTAATTTTCACACCATCGCCACCCAAAGCCCGTTTATTAATAACTGGCATTCATAGCACATGTAACATGGAGGCTCTTAGTGTGAGGAGATCACACTTAGCCTAAGCTAAAACCCAGACAGAGATAGAGAGGGAGAGGGTGGCAGAAAGAAGGGGGCATGCATGCAGAGATATGAGTGAATATGGGAAAAGAAACAGGAGGAATAGGGAAAAGGTGGAAAGAAAACAGATTTGAGAGTGCACCAAAAGAGAATAAAGGATGAGCAGAAAAGAGTGATAGAATAAAAGTGAAGAATACTGTAGCCAAAGGAGAATTCACAGAAGGAAATGTAAAAGCAAACATATTTACTGCTGGAGGTTGGAGAGAAGAGGGAATGTGGAGAACAGACAAGCTGCCAGGGGAGATCACAGACCCCTGCCCTCTCCTCCTGGCTATCCTTCCACTCTCCACAGACCATCTCTACCTCATACCTGACAACTCTGCTGCGTGCCCATCTGCATCTCCATACTCAAATTCCAGAGTGGGGCAGTCCACAGAGCCCTGTAATGGAGAAGTCTTTGCAGTAACTTGGGAAAAGGAATGAAAAAGGATATTATACTCTCATTTAATACTCATTATACTCTCTTCTTCTTCTCTTAGAGGCCAACGTTAGATCAGGGAGGCCGCTAGGAGAGTCCCATCTGGATCTTTAATCCAAGAGGTACCCTCCTCCAAGCCAAAATCCAAGGCTCAGTACAGGGCAGGGCTGAAGGTTCCTATATAAAGTCAGAAAATCTGGGTAAAGGGCTAGGATTGTGAACAGATATGAAAGCTATGCAATCTGTGCCTGTATCTGACCTACATAAACATGGACCAGAAGAGCATGTAGCTGATTTCTAGAACAATGAGATGAACTAAAACAAAAGAGGTGAGCTGGATTCTAATTTCAGCTATGTCATTAACCCACTGTATGATTTTGGGCAAATCTCGTTTTTTGGATCATAGTTCATTTATTAAAAAAAAAAAAAAGTACCTCAGGTCTAGTGTTGACAACTTTAGGATTGTCAAATAAGGTAGTATTTCTACTCCAGGTTGTTGTTGTTTTTTTTTTAAGATTTTATTTATTTGACAGAGAGAGCGACAACGAGAGAGGGAACACAAGCAGGGGGAGTGGGAGAGGGAGAAGCAGTCTTCCCACTGAGCAGGGAGCCCCATGCGGGGCTCGATCCCAGGACCCTGGGATCATGACCTGAGCCAGAGGCAGATGCTTAATGACTGAGCCACCCAGGCGCCCCTACTCCAAGTTGTTTTAAAGCTAGATTTCCTATGATGTTGTATGTATAAATTTATAATACTATATAAAAATATTTTAATGTGATCCCACCCCCTAACCTCTTTAAGAATTTTAGAGTTATTTCCTACCAGCATACATTAGTATATATAAATTTTAAAATTTTTGCATCTCAGCTACCCCATATTGAGATCTTGAGCAAGTCACTTAATCTGTCTGTGCCTCAGTGTGGTATAAAAAATGTATTTGGTCTTTGACCACATTCCAGGCACAGAGCTCCTAAAACCTCTGGAATTTCCTGATAGAAGTGTAATTCATAAGCCCCAGTCAACTTCTAAACTTGAGTTTATGCTAATGAGGTGACTCCTGGTGAGCCTTTAAGAGTTTCAGGGCTCGCCACACACCCAGAGAGGGGAGGAGGCTGATGATTGAGTTCAACCAGTGGCCAATGGTTTAATCAACCATGCCTAGGTAATGAAACTCCATAAAAGCCCTAAAACAATTAGGTTTGGGTACACCAAAGTGCTAGAAGGGTGAAACCTAGAGGGCGTGGAATCTCTGCACCATCTCACCCCCATATACCTTCTTCTTTGCCTTTCTTCATTTGGCTATTCTTGAGTTGTATCCTTTATAACAAAATTGTAATTATAAGCAGAACAGTTTTTTAAACTCTGTGAGTCACTGTAGCAAATTATGGAATCTGGGGATGGCGGGGTTAGGGGTGGGGGTGGTCATGGAACCTCTGAATTTACAGTTGGCCAGGTAGAAGTGCATGTAGCCTGGGGGCCCCAGGTGTGGCTGGCATCTGAAATGGGGACTATCTTTTGAGACTGAGCCCTTAACTTGTGGTGTCTGTGCTAACTACGGATAGTGTCAGAACTGAATTGGTGCCAGGGAATTACTGGAAAACGAAGTGCTCAGTTTTCCTATCTGTAAAATGAAGATAATTCATAGGGTCATTATAAGGACTCAATGAGTTAATAGAGAAAAAGCATTTAGCACACTACCCAACACTTGGTAGTACTATGTAGATGGTTACACTACTTTGTTATTTTTTTTAGATTTTATTTACTTATTTGAGAGAGAGAGAGAGAGAGAGAGAGAGAGAGCACTGGAGCAGAGGGGAGGGGTAGAGGGAGAGGGAGAAGCAGACTCCTGGCTGAGCAGGGAGGCGGATGTGGGACTCATCCCAGGGTCCTGAGATCATGACCTGAGCTGAAGGCTATGCTTAACCGACTTAGCCACCCAGGCGCCCAGTTATACTACTTTGAATTTTACCTACTGTACTTAAAATTTTAATATTATATTATAAAGGCATTATTCTCATATTATCATGACTATCATTTTAAACAGCTAAGTGTACAGCTAAGTGGACAGATAACTGGTTTTCTTAACCAGTTCACTATTGTTGAACATTTAAGTTGTTTTTCAATTTTTTTTTTTACTATATGTATGAAGCTGTGATACACTTATAATTTTTCCATATTTAGGAACTTTCCTAAGGATAGATTCTTTTTTTTTCAACTAAGGATAGATTCTTGAAAAGGAAATGAATTGCATCAAACCTTATGAATGAACACTTGTATGGTTCTTTGTATATGACAAGTTGTTTTCCAAAACCACTTTATCAATTTACACTGCCATCAATGCAAATCATATTTAAATCCACTATAGCAAAGCTTTCCAAATACTTCCAGGTTACAGAGACAAAAAAAAAAAAAAAAAAAAAGGTGGAGGGTGGGAATGACATTTAGGGTGTTCTGATAAGTAGAGACTTAAAAATCTTTTTAAAATATATATTTCCAAAAAGGATAGTTTAATACTCCCAAAATGAGGATACAATATTAGAATAAAAGAGTCATTAACAGCATGTTTTTCAAAGTTTTTGGATTGTAAATCAAAGAATAAATAAACTTTACATTATGTCCCAACACACACATACAAAACTGGACCAAAGTTTAACAAAATAGTATCACTATCACTATATGTGATGTAGATATTTTCTATTATTCTATTTCTTTAAAAAAATGTTGGTATCAACTCACAGATTACCCCCTATGTTTGAAAAACACTGTTTTAAATTGCATACATCCTTCAGCAGGGTCAAGAGCCAGCATCCCGGTGACAAGATGTCACATGTTCCCTGCTACGATGTGACCAGAAGGACAGTCACCTCTGTGGTCTTCTACCTGAAAGGCTGGAATCTCACCTTATGTCAGACAGACCCTGAATGAAGGAGGCTCACTGAGAAATTCTCACAGCCCACAGCAGGCTCAAAATAACTGGGGCCTGAGAAGGACGCCCGAGGGACACAGCCTTGCATCAGTCAAACGACCAATGTTGCTTCCATAGTTTGGACAAAGGCACCGTGGAAACCTGAGGAGCTGACATCGGGGAAACTGAGCAAGGGGTACAAGAGCCCTCTGTACCATCTCTGCAACGTCTCTGTAAACCTAAAATCACTCTAAAGTAAAAAGTTTAGTAAAAAAAATAATAATAAATAGCATAATCCTTTATTTATTTATTAAGTAAGCTCTACACCCAACATGGGACTTGAACTAATGACCCAGAGATCAAGAGTTTGCATGCTCTACCAACTGAGCCAGCCAGGCACCCCAAATTGCATACATCCTTTAAATTTATTGTATTGAACTACATTTTATGAAAAACTCACTTTAATGCCCCAAATTTTCCTCATTTTGCCACAAACCAGTAAAACTTTGTCAAGGACTTTGGAACCCAATTAAACCAAGGGATCTGGCTAAAGAGGCCTGAGGTGAATCATTTGGTTAAGAATCTTCTTATTAAGGGGCTCTTGGGTGGCTCAGTCAGTTAAACCACCAACTCTTGGTTTCGGCTCAGGTAGTGATCTCAGGGTCCTGGGATCCAGCCCCATGTGGAGCCCTGCGTCAGGCTCTCGGTTCAGTGGGATGTCTGCTTGTGGATTCTCTCTCTCCCTCTGCCTCTGCCCTTCTCCCTCTGCCACTCAGTTTGTGCTCGCGCGCGCATGCGCTCTGTCTCTCTCTCTCAAATCTTTAAAAAAAAGAATCTTCTTATTAAGTAAATAATTATTCTCTAGCTTCCTATTTTCCTTGGGATGTTCATACACTAAGCCATTCAGAGAGGGTAGGTCAACCAGTGTCCCTTACAAACACAATGATGGATGAGGACACTCTCTTGAATGGCGCCAACAGTAATTCTCTTCCAGTAATCCTTTAGAAGCACAAGAGGTGGGGGGAAAGACAAAAACAAAACCATCTCCTCTGAGGACTGTCTTCCACAGGAAAGCAAACGGAGGGAAGGAAGGAAAGGCAGATAGTCATCTACGTCTGGCACCTGAGTGTTGTGGTGATAGGGAATGTACTGACAGGTAAAAAGCAGCTTTCCTGCCGCAGTGGAAGGTGGAGGAAAGCTAATCTTTCCAGCCAGCCTTTTGGCAGGCAATAAGCCCAGATGGAGAGAATCACTGCAGTTGTCCATTTTCAAGCATAAAAAGTGCAGCTGCAGACAACCAGGAGGTAAAACTGTGGGGCAGGTGGAAAGCTCTGAGTCTCTGGATACTGAATTCACTGGCAAAAGGAAAGTACTATCAGAGCCCTTTTCTTGAAGGAAGACTTGATAGGCAGGGAAAAGGCCTCCTACATCCTTTTTTTTTTTTTTTTAAGGTTTTATTTATTCATTAGAGAGAGAGACAGAGAGAGCACAAGCAAGGGGAGAGGCAGAGGGAGACGGAGAAGAGAGGGAGCAGAAGCCGCAAACTGAGCTGGGAGCCCGACATGGGGCTCGATCCCAGGACCTGGAGATCACAACCCGAGCCGAAGGCAGCCGCTCAACCATCTGAGCCACCCAGGCACCCCTCCTTACTTGTTTTAATTCCCCCAAATTGGTTTCATTCTGAAACCAATTATTTTATTTACTTGCATATTATCTGTCTCTCTACCCTGACTAGAATGTTTGTTTGCTCCACAGAGCAAAGACCTTATCTTGTTCACCACTGTATTCCTAACACCTAAACAGTGCTGGGCTTGTTGGAAGCACTCAATAATTTTTGAATCAATGAATGACCCACCATCTCCCCCCCCAAAATACATTTAAGCAAGAACAATGTCTCTATGGGGGAATGAGGCACAGGGTGCCCTAAAACGCCAGATTCAGGGGTGCCTGGGTTGAGCATCCATCTCTTGGGTTCCTCTCCAGTGGTGATCTCATGTGTTATGGGATAGAGCCCTTCATGGGGCTCCATGCTCAGCAGGGAGTCTGCTTGGGGATTCTCTCTCTCTCTAAAATAAATAAATGAATCTTAAATAAGTAAAATAAAATAAAAGGCCAGATTCACAGTGAGGCAGGGAGGGAGATGATATGGACAGAACCCTGATCTAGCTAGCAAGACAGTAAGGCTAATCTCTGCCTCCGAAAGGTGGTGTGACTCTGGGCCAGTCTTTTCATCTCCTCCACTTCTCTTTTTTAGAAAATGTGATGGATTCCCCCTTGTCTGTATCAAAATGTAAAACATATATGAAATCCCTTTGGAAACTGTGATATACTATTCAAATGGTAAACCATTGCTGGGACAAGTTAGACCTGGCTTCTAGTACCAGCTCTGGCCCCGTGAGCTCATGACCAATTACATGCCCTGTGCCTGAACTGAATTAAACATTTGACATTCAGTTATCTCACTTGGCTTTATCACAACCTTATGAGGTAGGTAGTATTAACCTCATTTTACAGATGAAGAAATGAGCTCAGAGAGGTTTGGCAATTTGCCAAAAGTCACACAGTAAATGGTAGGGCCAGGATTCAAAACCAGGTCTGATTGACCCCAAAGGTTGGTGCTCCTGGCCACTATGCCAGATGTATGCTCCTGGGCAAGTTACTTCTGTCTCTTACTTCTGTAAAACAAGGGGCTAAAACAGATGATCTCTACAGATCCTTCCACATCTGACATTTTGTAGTCTATTCTCCTGATCCCCACTCACATCCAATTCTACTCTTGGCTAGTTGATGGAAACTGGCTGGATGAGGGGGCAGGGGACTAATAATTCACTCCTTTCATCCTCTTAGTTAGCATTTCTTTTCAGAAGAAGTGACCCAAACATTCATATTCCTATCTGTGGGTTTGTATCCTGGACAGTTCCATCCACTCCCTCCTGTACAGCCCCTGCCTGAAGCCTGTCTCATTAACTCTTACTGGTAGGGGTCCTGAGGTCGTGGAAGGCACTCCCTAAAGAGCCTGCCAACAACACTCGGGGGGAAGGGGAAGCGCAGAAGTCACTGGGCACATCTGGATCCGATCGCTAGCCCGGGGCTGGGGTGGGGGGGCGGCTGCCCACACGCCCGCCTCTATCCACTGCGGCGGAGCTCGGCCCCCCCCCATCCCTCAGGCCAGTCACTTAACCTCTCCGCGCCCGTTTCCCCCGTAAATCTAAAACACGAATCCCCACTTCAAGGGGCTGCAGAGATTAAGTGAGATACACATTGAAAAGTATCAGGTATGCTCGATATCACGCTACATCTTCGCGCCCCCAGAGGAGAGGCCAGAAGGCGAAGAAGCCCCCGACCCGCGGCACGAGACTGGCAAAGAGGGATCCGGGCTGCAGAGCCCAGAGTCCAGGCTGCGGCGGACCCCGCAGGCGCCCGCTCCAAGGGGCGACCCCAAGCGCATCGGGGACTCCGGAAGGGGAGAGGGACCAGGCCGAATCACCTCAGCCACCGCTTCCCGCCCGCTGGCGTCTCCCGGCCCCAACTGAAGCTCTCCGGGTTCCTCACCTCCGACTCCCGCCGCTGGCTTCTGAACGCTTCCCGGCCCTTGGGCGCCGCCTGCTTCCCTTTGCCGCCGCCGTTGCCGTTGCTATTGGTGGACGAGCTCCCGGCCCCGGCCGCCGCGGGGTCCTCCATGCGGCCCTAGTCAGCGGCTCCCCTCAGCGGCTCCGCGATCTCTGCCCGGGGCGACCCGGCCACCGCGCGCCGGGAGCCAGGCCCCGCCCCCTCCACAGCTATTGGCTGCGGTCGCGCCCCGCAGCCCCGCCCCGCAGCGCAATTGGTTATTCGACGGCTCGAAGCGGGACCTGGAGGAGGCGGGGGGGCAGGGCTCATTCACGGGATTTCCCCCCCCCGGTTTTTTTTTTTTTTTAAGTCCTGCGGCGTTGCTGGTAGTCAGTCTTAGGCTCCGGGGTAGGCTCCGGGCTCCACCTCCCGAATTCTGGGCCTTGAGTTCTGGCGGGTTATCTTTTTGCTTCTCACTCAGTACTCACCCCCTCCCAAATAGCGACCTTTTTGAGGAGCTCTAGTCTCCGCCTCCTGCTCCACTGCAGTCTCCCTTTCTCCATTACCACGGACCTCTATCCCACCTCTCGCATTAAGCCCCAAGTCCCGTGTCAGTCGCAGGGGAGGCGTGGCAACGCCGGGTAGCCAGGGACACCGCAGGAAACCAGGGACCCGCTCTCTGAGAGCTCCTCCCGTCCGGAGTGAGGGCTTGGCTAGGAGATAGTGGGTTGAGGGGTCGGGTGAGGCGTTTTCACTTCGCTGATATTGCTGGCGCCCTTCAGAGCTGCTCCTGGTCATCTGTCTTTTTCCTCTGAAGTGGGGCACCTTCCTCAGGTGTGAGCTAGGGAGAAATGTTGAATGGAGAGCAAGCCCCCACCTGCTCCCCAGTCCTTTCCTTCATTCCTCTAAGATCCTTCCTAAGGGCTCTATACAAAGGAGGCTGTGTCGTCTGCCGCTCCGAATTTATATAAAAAGCGGTTTACAGTAAATATTTAAGCTGTCTGGGTTGGTAATTAGAAGTCCCAAACAAGCAGCCTGAGGGGAATGGGTGGAACAAAATGGGGAATTGTTGAGCTGCCACTTTGTTCCAGGCATTGCACTAGACACTTTCCAGATATCACATGGTATTTCAACTCTGACAGGTTGTTTTCACTAATCTTGTATTACTGTTGAGAAAACCAGGACTCAGAGATTACTCCTTGCAGTTCCCAAGGTATCATATTCTATCTTGTCTGTGTCTTTGCAGTTCTTTCTCTCTAGAAAAAACTTTCTGCTCTTCTAAGTGCTAACTTCTATTGTTCTGTGAAGATTCTATTTCGTTATTACCTCTTCTTCCAGAAAGCCTTCCTTTGACCCTTCTCAACCCACTCAGGCTGTGTTGGAGTCATACCAAGTCTGCTTGGATTCAAAATTCGTATAGTTTCTACTATATCCCCAAAGTAAGAGGCTCAAAGGAATTATTCCCCCTTCCTATATCTTAGGAACAACTCTCTTTTCTTAGTAATACTTTTTTTTAAATTTTAAGTAATCTCTACACCTAACGTGGAGCTCGAACTTACAATTCTGAGATCAAGAGTTGCATGCGCCACCGACTAAGTGAACCAGGCACCCCAACTCTGTTTCTTTCTTAAGCATATCTCTCCCTCGTACTTTGCTCAGCTTAGTCAGTAGGTGACAGATCAAGGCAGAGTTGAAAAAGAGAACTCCTTGGAGCTTTCTCAGTTCCTTTCTCTTGTATTACCGAGGTCTCCTTACTGTATCCACCCATTTTCCCTTTCCTCTCCCATCCCCCGCAACCTGAATATAAGTTCCTTCAAATAAGGCCAAGTTTTGTTCATTTTGTAAACCTCATATATGTATGTTTAACACAGGGTTTCTGTAATACTGACTGAAAAGTTATTTGTTGTAAGGAGCTGTCCCATGCGCGTAGGAATCCCTGGCCTCTCCATACTAGATGGCAGTATTAGTAACCTTCCCCAAGTTGTGACAACCAAAAGTGTCTCCAGATATTGCAAAATGTTCCCTGAGGAGCAAAATCTTCTGCAGTTGAGACCTACTGGTTTAACAGAATTGAATTGATATGAATTTCCAAGGAAGTCCATGGTTCAAGACCTAAACTATTTGATTTTGGAATTTTTTTCAGGGTAATATTTGTTAAACTCTAAGATTCACACTCTGCTTTCAAATTCACAACGCACGCCTAGCTCATCACTGCTGCAGTGTGGTAAACCTGCCACAGCCCATTGACATTTCTTTTTTTTTTTTTTTTTAAAGATTTTATTTATTTATTTGACAGAGAAAGACAGCGAGAGCAGGAACACAAGCAGGGGGAGTGGGAGAGGGAGAAGCAGGCTTCCCACTGAGCAGGGAGCCTGATGTGGGACTCGATCCCAGGACCCTGGGATCATGACCTGAGCCGAAGGCAGACGCTTAACGACTGAGCCACCCAGGCGCCCAGCCCATTGACATTTCTTAATAAAAGAATTAATTATTCTGTCTTTCTCTTCCCAATTCCTGTCCTTCTAACAATCAGAGTTCTAGGATTGACATGCCCAGAACTTCATATTTCTTTTGTGAGCCTAGTCAATCAGCAGGATTCTCAAACAGTGGTGGCAGATAGGAATGGCCAGTTTTGAGGCTTTGTTCCTTTTCCACTCTATTCCTTGGGCAAAGGAACAAAGCCGCAAACAGGCTTCCAATGGGAATAGGACTGAGGACAGCTTTCAAGTCCCCTCTGGCCTCTATGCAAAGCCAACTGCTGAGCCTGGAGCTCCATCTGGCTTCACTTTCAGAGAAGGGGTTTGAAAAACTGGTGTTAGGGAGATTGCAAAGAATCAACACAAGAGACCTCAATTCATTATCTTTTCCAAAACCCAGTGGAATGGGAGACAGTAAAGACCAGACATTTGTCTGCTCCTTATAGGCCCAGACTTTCAGAGCTTGTCATAAGGAAGAAGACATCCGGAAAACAATTCCTGGAAGAGGTAACAAGAAACCACGGACTAACTGAGAACTTTGAAACTATAGGGCATGGACTGGGCACACACTGAACTTTTTAAAGCGTATTTGTCAGCAAAGATGCGATAGCCATCAATACCATTGACCACAGAGGCATCCGTATATATAGCTGGGAGCTAATTAGGGGCTAGTCTACAAGTTTTTCCACCTTGCAGAGATGGCTCCAGTGCTGAGTTATTTTTAAATCAACACTACCACTTTTCCTTGTCCCAAAACTCAGGCATTTTGGGGCTGCTAGCAGAGGGTTGGAGGTATAAATAGGTATAGTTACAAGGACTGAACATATCCTCTTCCCTATATAAGCACTCAACTTTAATCCATGGAGGTCAGATAGCAGATTAAATAGATAGCACCTGTTACAGAGAGCCCTTAAAAATAAGACGCAGAAAAGTCTTACAATACTTAATTTTTGAGGACATTGGGCAGCCAGGATGATATAGTAGAAAAAGGACAGAATATTTTCCTCTCCTATCAGTGGCACAGGCAACAGAGACTGTGGGACCCTAGACTGAGATAAGGAATTGATGCTTATGTAGCACATGGTGTGTGCCAGGTTTTTAAGCAGCATTTTAAAAATTAAATCAGGTCTTTAAATCCTTACCCTAGGAGACAAGCATTAACCATTTCATAGGCAGGAAAACTAAGGTTCCAAGTGGTTGGTTATATTATATATATATATGTATATAATATATATATCAAATTATACAACTTGTAAATGGAAGAGCTGGTCAAATGAGCCTGACTCAAAGTCCAATCTCTTTCCATACAGACCACAAGCTAGAGAAATTGCACAACCCTTGGTAGTCAGGGCTTACCCTATGAGCTTGAAACTAAGACCCAGGCACGCAAGCGCCCATCTTTCACAGAAGAGGACTCAAGCCCTGCTCTAAGGGAGTGAACCTGCCAGCTGGCTCACAGGCTTCATCGCTAGCCACTGTGTTCTCCTTCTCCTCAACTGGAGTGGCACCAGCTTTGAGTCATTACCAACTGCCCAGACTATTTTAGCTCTTAGTTTAGATAAACACAAGTCAAAGTAGCAGAAGATTCTGAGAGGGAAGAAAACATCTTGCGTACAGGAAGAACTAGGTTAGGCTGTCAACTAAGAAAGGTGGCTATCAGAAAGCTACTCAAAAATGGCCACTCTACTGGCAGTTGAGAAAGAGGCAGTTGGATTTAATCTTCTAGTTACTGACTTAGGCAAAAGCTGACTTGGAGAGAAAACTCTGCCAGATTATTTCTTCCATTTGGTTGGATGTAGTCAGGTTCTGGGTGTCAGGGCACTTTAATCCCAAACCATGGATGCTGGCTTCCTGTGCTCTCCAGCTAAGAGCAGCACAGAGAGGATTTGGGGGACCTAGAACTAGATGTTTCTCTGCCTTAGGCCTATACTTCTCTACTCCCCAGGGTGATGCTTCTTTTCTTTTTTTAAGAGATTTTATTTATTTATTTGAGAAAGTGTGTGTGTATGTGGCAGGGTGGGGAGAGACAGAGAGAAAGAGAGCATGAGCAGGGGGGCAGAGAGGGTTAGAGGGAGAGGGAGAAGCGGACTCCCCGCTGAGCAGGGAGCCAGACGTGTGGCTTGATCCCAGGACCCCGGGATCATGACCTGAGACAAAGGCAGATGCTTAACCAACTGAGTCACCTAGTTGCCCCTCCAGGGTGATGGTTCTGAGAAAGCAGGTTCTTTACACACATAACCAGGGGGCAGGTTGGGGGTAAAATAGTGGAATGGCCCACCATGGAATAAGGGACCCAACGCTAAGGCCATTTAAACATGCTGCTTTTGGTAGCCTATTGGTAAGATGCTTTTTACATCCTTGCCCTGCAGCAGGCTCTCCAGCCCTTTTCCCAGAAACATCTCTCATCTCTGAATTCGTAGTTCACAGAAGCAAGGAATATTCTCAAGACAAGAATCCATTTTAAGAATATTTTATTTATCTTTTGAGATTACATAGTCATTATTGCTGATCTAATACAATCACTTAGACATAAAGATTTCCAAGAGCCTCTCAGAAATGGCGATTCTTAGAGGTTTTATTTCCTTTCAGTAAGATGACAGTGAGAACTAGATGCTTATATATATAATATATATATTATATATATAGTTTAGTTTA